CAACTCTGCCGATAATTATCTTTCAGCTTAGTTTTTCCTAACATAATTTTCATGTAACAGTCTACGAAAACCTGACTAGCTGTCTTTGATCATAGATGCCTGCATTCCATCCATCGTGTTAGGTGGTATAATAGGGTGAGCAATATTGAGGTTAGGCGTCGGTCAAGTGCCAAGTAAAGAGGCGAAATCAATCGTCGGGGATGTGAAGTTACATCGATTGAGATACTTAGGACATGCCTTATGTATGCCTAGTCATCACTTTCCTCGACAACAGGCACTGTCAGCTGACATATGATCAGGCTGGAAAAGAGCTGTAGGCTGTCAAACGAAAACATGGCATCAGTTAATTTAAGCCAGCTGCCACGTAGGAAGGTGTAGACTTCCTGATTGGTTGGGTTCCTCGGGACAGTAAAAAGCAATAGAGGCTGGGGACAATTTGTGATATTACTGGCTCAAAATCGTTCTCAATGGCTGGTGCAGATGCATCCACTCCTTGTGATTTATAATATCCAATGAAACGATATTGTTCTTTCATATTACTATTCTGTAGGCATCGTTTCTCTGTTTACTGTCTCTAGTTTGCATTTCTTCTTAATTTATTTTGTTGTTTTGTGTGCTACATGGGGTGTGGCGACTTGAACTGCTTCACATCGGTGTAAAGTTCTATGTTGGAGCCAGTGAGTCAGTCAGTCAAACCACTTAGCTGACCGAAAGCTGCTACCTTGACGTGGTGGTCGGGCTTGAACACCGCAATGACCTAATCAAGCTATACTGGCTGAGACTTATGTCTCTTGAGGTTCTACCATGCCAGGCAGGTTGTTTGGATAGCGGTTAAACAAAAAGCAGCTACCCAATCCAACATCATGTCCAATACAAAATTACAAAATTTCATGCCGGATCGGCCGTGGCCCGGATTAACAACGACCGCGCTTCCTGCTGCCGTGTCACAGGGAGGGAGTGATAAATATGCTACTGAGACACACCAAACAAAAACGAACAAACAAAAACAGGCCGCGTGCGACCGGCAGTGCGACCGAATGTGTGCTGTCCGCCTGAACGGATCAGTAAGAAGGAGGAAGGACTGCACTACTCGCCGATGCCTTTTCGTAATCTCCGCCTACGCCCCCACTGACTGCAGTTCAGATGAAACGAAGGATGAGTTCTACCAAAAGCTGTCTAGTTTGGTGGAAAGGCTAAACGCTCAGACATAGTCGTTCTAGCTGGTGACTTTAACGCTCAAGTAGGGAAATTGTGTCAATCTGAGAAGGATGTCGGTGGCACCTATGGAGTTCCGTGCCAGCGAACCGACAACGGTGACCGTCTCCTACAGTTCTGCTCTGATAATCATTTGTTTCTTGTAAGCACTAACTTTAAACACAAGGAGAGACACTGTTTGACTTGGAGACCCCCTTCATCAAACCAACGCTGGACACAAATAGACCACATAGCAATAAGCTATCGTTGGCGTGGGTCGGTAGGAGATTGTCGCTCCTTCTGGAACACGTGCGTAGATACCGACCATGCACTGGTCCGCGCTCGGGTGTGCTTACGACTGAACGGACGTAGGAAACAGCTGGCGGTAAAACCATCACGTCCCCAGCTCGATCAGGAAACTAAATCCGTATTTGAGGAAGAACTAGCTAAACACATATCTGTGTTCGACAGCTGTGCTCACCCTGAAGAAGCTTGGAAAAATATCCAGGCAGCCATAGATACAGCTGTAAAAGCTGTGAATAAGGTAAACCCAAAGGTGAGTAAAAACCACTGGATCTCCACCGCCTCATCCGAACTGATAGATGCTAGAAGACTTATTCCGGCGAGCTCCGAATTCAATGAGGAGCGAAAGCTGCACAAGAGGAAACTTACGAAAAGTCTCCGCAAGGACCGTGAACAGTGGTGGGCGACAAAAGCCAAAGAGATGGAGAAAGCTTGAGGATAGGCAACACCAGGCAACTCTTTGGACTCATCAGGGAAACGGGTGGGAGAAGACAAATCATTAGTGAGACAATCTCGGAAAAAAATGGCACTATAATTAGCTCCAGGATAGACGACTGGATCGTTGGAAAGAGCATTATGAGGAGCAGTTTAATTTGCCCACAGCCACGCTCAACCTTCCGAGCATCCAACACCTCCCTGAATGGGATATAGACACAGGTCCTCCGTCACTAACTGAGGTTACTAAAGCTGTCACCAATCTGAAACTAGGCAAAGCAGCGGGACCTGATGGAATGACGCCAGAGGTATTTAAGTACGGTGGAGACAGCTTACTGTCCGGATTAACTGAGGTACTAGGCAGCGTCTGGGAATCAGAAGAAGTCCCATCGGGTTGGTGTAAGTCACTGATTATCCCCATATACAAGAAGGGAGACAAGTCTTCCTGTGATAATCACAGAGGGATTAGCTTGACTAATATAGTATCTAAAGTCTTAGGCTCAATAATCATGCGTAGACTGAGTGGTGCTCGGGAAGCACAAACACGAGAGAGCCAGGCAGGCTTTAGACCAGGAAGAGGGTGTATTGATCATATCTTCACCCTCCGACAGATTCTAGAACATAGGCATTCCTACCGGCGTCCAACAGTCATTATATTTCTTGACCTAAAGGCAGCATTCGACTCTGTCGATCGGGAAGTTCTCTGGAGATGCTTGGCTGTAAAGGGAATTCCAAGAAAATATATTGCACTGATTAAGGCACTCTATTCGTACTCATACAGCCAGGTGAGGGCTTACGGCGAGCTGTCATCTGAACTGATGACGACCAGTGGTGTCCGTCAAGGATGCCCATTATCTCCTTTTCTATTCAACTTCATCATAGATGTGTTAATGGACTTAACCCTAGGTGACTTCAGCGATTCAGGGATTGACTTGCTACCGGGGAATAATCTCGTTGACTTGGAATATGCAGACGATATAGTCCTTCTAGGCGAAGACGCTGACGAAATGCAGAGTCTTCTAAACACCTTGAGCCGCAATCTACGAATGTTTGGCATGCGATTCGCTCCCGCCAAATGCAAGATGATGTTACAGGACTGGACTACATCGACGCCTAGTTTAAAAATAGGAAGTGAAGTGGTAGAGCACGTTGACCGCTTCACTTATTTGGGAAGTACCATCAGCCCCAACGGGCTGATCTCTGACGAAATCTCAGCACGAATACAAGGGGCTCGTTTCGCATTTGTTAGTTTACGCCGACTCTGGCGTAGACGAGATGTTCGACTATCGACCAAAGGGCGGGTGTACTGCTCATCAGTCCGCTCCGTCCTCCTTTATGGTTGTGAGACCTGGCCACTGAGAGTGGAAGACATGAAAAGACTAGCTGTCTTTGATCATAGGTGCCTGCGTTCTATTTCCCGTGTAAAGTGGCATAATAAGGTGAGCAACATGGAGGTTAGGCGTAGAGTTCTAGGTAAACAGGGGAAATCAATCGACGAAGTCGTGAAGCTACAAAGACTGAGATGGTTAGGACATGTGTTACGTATGCCAAGCCATCGCCTCCCTCGACGAGCAATGTTAGCGGATATAGGGTCAGGCTGGAAAAAAGCTAGCGGCGGTCAAACAAAAACTTGGCATCAGTCAATGAAATCCACAACAGTTGGTCTAAGCCACGTAGGAAGGTGTAGACTTCCAGGCTGGGGTCCTCGGGACGGTAAAAATCTATGGTTGGAAACAATTGGTGACATGGCTCAAAATCGTTCTCAGTGGCGCAGATGCATCCACTCCCTGTGACTTATGATCTTCAATGAAACTGTTTTGTATTTCTTTATTACTCCTTTGTCTCACACCTCTGCTCACTGTTTCTATTATGCTTTTCTTGTACTTTCTTCTCTTGCTTCGCGTGCTACACGGAATGTGGCGACTTGAACTTCCGCACATTTGTGCAAAGTTCTATGTCGAAAACAGACAGACAGACTTAGCTGACCACTACGGACCCATCAATCCTCGGGAAAGTCGTGACCCATGTGGTCTAGTAGATAGCTGTTTGTCTTTTGAAACTATAGGTACTGAGTCCAAGAGCATAAGTAGCAACACCATCACTCACTGGAGAATGCAGATAGATCCAGTTGACAAGTCAGAAACAAGACGAAATGAGCGTTGTCCTGGTAGCTCCACTGATAGTCACCATTTACCAATTTACAACAAATCAGCATTTTATTTTAATCACTAAAAGGTCATTGATTAGTCGCAAATTAGTCAGTTATCTACTTGATGAAAATTCCTGGCCACGTGGAACGGCAACAAAAACAGACAACAATCAGCATAAATGGGAGGAATCTGAAAGAAACAACATCATCAACCTCTACCGACCTGGGAAGCATTGCTTCAGCTACACATGGACAGAACTGATGAGGATATCAAAGAGACGAGCAGGAAAGCAAGGCTAGCTCTCATTTCTCTCAGGTCTGTGTGCAGATTAACAGCCTTCAGCATGAAAAATAAGTCCAGTATTTTCAAATCCAATGCGAAGTCAGTGGTACTTTATAGTTGTGACACTTGGCGCCTGCCACAAACGGCACTTCAAACAAACTACAAACCTTCATCAATAGTTGTCTTTGCTCAATACTCAAGATCAGATGGTTAGAAAATATCAGCAACAGGGATCTCTGACAATAAGCGAACCAACCCAGAAGGAACTAATTGTACAACAAATATTCAGGAAGAAATGGAGGTGAATTGGATTGGTCATACTTTGAGAAAACAAACCATCAAGTGAGTGACATCACACGCCAGGCCATGATTCGATTGGAACCTGAACGGTTGTCAGTGCTAGGATGACATGTAGTGGGGGAGGTGATGCGAAGAGGAGATGAAATCATGTGAGCAGACGTAGAGCCAAGTGAAAAACGTTTGCAGAGAACCCAACGGAATCGAGACGTGGGGCTAAAGCCCTATGTTCCTCTAGGAATTAAAGGAAACAATAATAATAATAATCTCTTTTTCTTTCTGTTAATTACTTCTCCATTATCTATTTCTGTTTTGTTTTTTGTTTTTTTAATATTTTAGTGCTGGTTGTGTCATCGTGTTCTGAGCTTAGACACATGGACACAAGAATCTAAAAAATATCAAACGCGATTTAACTTACGAAATAATTCTATGGGTGGTGGTGGTGGTGGCGTTGGTGAAGATGCAAGTTGTCCACCTGTAGATTATTATAATTCATTTGTTACATATGCTAAAGAATTGAATCGATTATCTGAAGCCTGTCTGCTAATGACCTATTTGGAAGTACGTATACAAGCATTCAATTATTTTGGTACACTCCCAGAAGATGTTACATATTGGTGTCCATTGGATGATGTCGACGTAGATAAATATGTAACAGATTTTCTGTTGTTTATTGAACAAGTTAAAGATTTATCGATTCATACGTTTAGTCGACATAAATTTCGGTGAGTTAAATTATTACTATTATTATTGTTATTGTTTCCTTTAGTTCCTATAGTAATATAGGGCTTAAGCCAGAAACTCTTCATTGCGTTTGGTTCTCTGTCAATGTTTTCAGTTGGCTCCATGTCTGCCCACATGCTTTCATCTCCTCTTCACATGACCTCCTCCACTCAATGTCGTCCCACCATCACACTGACGACCAACTCGCTGCTTTGCATTCGGGTCCCACTCGAGCAATGGCCTGGCGTGTGAGATGTCACTTGATGATGGTTTGATTTCTCAGAGTATGACCAATCCACCTCCATTTCTTCCTGCTTATTTTTTGCACAATCAGTTCCTTCTGGGTTGGTTCGTTCATTGCCAGACATCCATCCCTGTTGCTGATCTTTTCTGGCCGGCCATCTAATCTTGAGCGAAGACAGCTGTTGATGAAGGTCTGTGGTTTATTCGAAGTGCCCTCGGCGTGGCGCCGAGTCTCTGATCCGTATAGTAAAGTAGCACTGCTTTCACATTGGACTTGAAAATCCGTATCTTATTTTCATTTACATGCTGAGTTCTGTTGATCATAACACAGACTTGAGAGTAGTGAAAGCTTGCCTTGCTTACCCGATCGATTCTCGCTTTGAAATCCTCACCAGTTTCGTCCGCTTGTATTTGAAACGATGCTTCCCAGGTAAATGGGTAGGTGAAGGAGGTTGCTTCTTTCAGATTCGTTCCATTTATGTTGATTGTTGTCTGTTGTTGTTGTTGCTGTTGCTTTTGGCCAGGAATCTTCATCACCTCTGTTCTCTCTATGTTCACCTGAAGTCCTGTCTTCTCTAGATGCTTTTTCTGTCAACTTGTCGCTTTTCATTTGCATATCTTCAAGTTTGTGGGGAATCAAACATGTATTATCGGCGAAGTCCATATCCTCCAAGTTTCTTGTGTGAATGCATTTTATGCCTGTCCCCGTTACTCGGCCCGCCATTGTCTGTCGCATTATTCAGTCTACCACAATCAGGAAAATCATTGGAGATAGTAGGAAGCCAGCCAGCCAGCCAGCCTCGTCTTACTCCCGTCTTCACTTCGAAGGATTCCGTGAGTTTCCTGTTGTGGATTACTTGGTATGCAGCACTGTCGTACAATTGTTGTATGAGATGTATAATTGTTGGCGGCACCCCATGGTAGTAGCGAAGTAGTTGCCAAATCGCCTTTGGATCGACGCTGTCTGCTGATAGCTTTTTCAAAGTCAGTGAAGTGAGACAGAGAGGTGACTGCCATTCCGAGGTCTGTTCAATTGTGATCTTCCGTGTTGTACTACTTCCTACCCTAAGTAGGGTGTTTCTTTGTCTTTTTATTTCGTGTCTTCCATTTTTTGCTTCAATAATGCCTACTGTTTCATTTGCTTTCTTTGACGTCACATCTCTATCTCTCGGCTAACTGATATTTTTGTGCACCAATGGATGTCTCGATATTCTATTGACAAATCTAAACAATAATAATAAGAGTCAATTTCTAGAAAGTTATGAATCTCGTTTTCGTCCTGTTTGACCCTCATCGGCAGCAGCATGAACCTGTAACTCAAGAGTAATATTTGAGAACTGTGGTAAAATCTAATTCTATATTATTATGTAAGTGATACAGTGTTCATAAATGGATGGCGTTTTGAGGGCAATTTATTCCTGCTCATAATCATATCAATATATTGACATAACTTTCTTAAATACCCGAGGAAGGCGATGAATGGCTTGGGAAACATGCGTGAAACATGCCCCAACCATCTCAATCGATGAAGCTGCTTCACAACCTCATCGATAAAGTCCCGCCTTACCCAGGCTACCACTCGATCGACGCTTAACCTCAATATTTCTCACCTTAACACGGGATGTAGGTGGAACGCAGACACCTATGATGAAAGACAGCTGTGGTGAGAGGTGTCTGCAAGGTAAAATTGGTAGGCAACAGTTTACGTCCCAAATCGGGGTCATGAGGAAAAAAAACAAGAACAAAATCTAACCTTGAGGAACTCAACGACCCATCACAGAAGACTTGGTGTCGGCGGATACGATTCGCACATATATCAACAGACTAACTGAGAAACGGCCACAAAGAGATGACAAAATAACCTTCAGCAGGAAAAAATAATCAATCAGAAGACGTTGCTTCTCTGCTAACAACAACGAATAAGGAAATACATATCAATCTATAAGTAGTATCTCTTGATCTCCTCAATAAGTGATCTGTTGCCTAGCGCTTGTCTTTTGTCGCTACACAGCTAGTCAGGCTTTTCATATCTTCCACTTTCAATAGTTATGTCTCACCTACAGCCCATAAAAGAGGAGATGGAAGCGAACTGGTGAGCAGTAAACACATCCTTTGGTCGACAGCCAGGTGGATATCAAGTCTAGTAAGCTAGAGATGGCGTAATTTGATTGAGAAATGCTAAACGAGTCTTTTATATGCGTGTTGAGATTCCATCAGCAACCAACCAACCCGGTGGGACTGGCTGATGCAACTTCCCAAATAAGTGAAGTGGTCAACACACTCCATCAACTACTTCACTTCTGCCTATCTTTTGACAGGAGGGAATTGCATGTACCATTCTGTCTAATACTAATTCATTGTTGCTTTTTGTTTGTTTTCATTTTCGTAGGTTTATTTTTGATGGTCTTGGTGATTTCATTTCACAACTGCTACTTCGTTTAATTCCACAAATTGAAAGAATGAATGCTAATGGGAATAAAAAGATGTAAGTTATGCATTCACAATAATAATAGTAATAATAATAATAATCATGGTGTTTAAATGTGGACTTCGTCACGGAAGGACATCAGTTAGAGGAATTGTTAAAACACCCAGATAGTAATGAACAGCTGTTTCACTATGGTTTGGGACTCATAAGCAGTATCTGCCCCTCATCCTCCTCCGCCGACGATCGAACCTGGGACTCCAGTTGCAAGGCGAGCTTATCGATCGATCATTCAGCCACTTGGATGCCATCCTTCAATTGATCCGTAAATTCTAACTTCTGCCAATTTGCTATATACAGTCAGTACGACCGCAAGCCAATATCATCGGAGAGTAATTGTCCTCACACACACACACGCATATCCACCAACTTGATAGACCCTGGTGGTAACGACGTCTTACACTAGAGACCTTCAGATAAATTCATCGTGTAATCAATTACTAGTGAGAAAGCAGATTATCTATTAAGTGTTAGTTTGCAAATGGATTTGATTGCTCTCAAGTGTTGATCATGAAATGAATCCAGTTAGAGAGGTGATTGAAAATCAGAGAGCATTGGATGATGATAGCCTTTATCCAGTTGACGAGTCCCAAATAGAACGAAACACGCCTTGTTCTAGATTCCACAGCTAGTCACCATCTACCAATTAGCCTTTGTCCTTTAGTTTATGAGTCTCCAATAGTGTGTATCCATGACTTTTTCACGTGGAATCGGGCTGAGAAATTCCAGCTACAGGGTTGGTTTATTGCAATAATGTAATCTAAAGGAACTTCGCGTGTGTTTTCACAAGAAACTTCGTTGTTTTTTTCAGTTGTTTTCCTGTGGTAGTATTTTTGTTGATACATGTCAAATATGATAGAAATCATTAACCGCGGACCAACGGACTGATTGGCGATGAAATCTCAGCACGGATCCGAAAAGCTCGAGCTGCTTTCGCTGACTTACACCATCTCTGGCTAAGGCGTGACATCCGGCTATCAACCAAGGGACGTGTGTACTGCTCATCAGTTCGCTCCGTCCTTCTCTATGGCTCTGAAACATGGCCAATACGCGTTGAAGACATGAAAAGGTTGACTGGTTTCTATCATAGATGTCTGCGATCTCTGTCTCACGTTAGGTGGTTTCACAAGATAAGTAATGTTGACGTTAGGCGTAGAGTGTTGGGCAAGGAGGGAAAATCAATCGACGAGGCTATAAAGTTACATAGACTAAGATGGCTAGGTCACGTGGTGCGCATGCCTAACCACCGCCTCCCCCGACGGGCATTGTTAGCTGATATAGGTGCAGGTTGGAAAAGAGTAAGTGGTGGCCAAACAAAAACATGGCATCAATCCATGAAATCCTTGACAGTTAAACTGAGTCAGGTAGGGAGATGCAGACTCCCGGGTTGGGGCCCTCGGGACTCTAGGAATCAATGGCTGGAGACAATAGGTGACATGGCTCAAAATCGTTGTCAATGGCGCAGATGTATTCAGTCTCTGTAATCTTTCATATTCCTTTCTACCATTACCCATTCTGTTTCACTCCTATATTTGTCAAACTCTATTAATTCTCTCCACTCATCTTCTTGTCTACCTCTGTGTGCTATTTGGAACGTGGCAACTCGAACTGGTGCACTTGGGTGCCAAGTTCTATGTTGAATCCAGACAGACAGACAGAAAAAGAATTGGAATTAGTTCAATTACCACCTCAGAGATTATTACACTGTGGATATCTGTTATGTGTCAACCGTCGAGATACTTCTCGTTTTATGCTAGTTGTTGATGTCTATTATTCAACAGCTATGTGACATTAACACTAATCAAGTGATCGATAGTGGAAGACTCAATGAAGACTTTGAAGTGAATACAGCAGTAGGCTAGGCTGCTGATTATTATCTCAGATGGTATTGCTAATTGTGGTGGACTGGATTATTGCCGGAGACTGTGACTGGTGAGAGAGAAGACAGAGGAGTATGTTGGACTGACTGATAAGAAGACTCCATCTAGAAGATCTGGATTTCTTATGTGGATTATTATTTATATTTAATGTCACACAACGTCGAAAACTTACAGGCGAAAACCAATAAACCGGAAAAGAAAAGGCAGGCAGTAAAGTCAAGGCAGGTGAACATAAAGAAGACAGAGGTGATGGAAATAACCAACCAGCAACAACCAACACCAATCATTATCTGTGAGAGGGATTTAAAAGCGGAGATGAAGATGTCAAAACCAACCGGAGTCGGAAAGGCGAGGTATTGACTTCCTTCACTCTGAAATCACTGTGGAAATCTTCTACACTCTATAGCATAAACAACAGGATTCGGGATTTTTTAACACCAATGTTAAGTCAGTCAGTCCTTCTATACGGGTAACAAACTTGCATTGAGAGTGTTACGAAGAAGATATCCAACAGGTTACTCAGACTTTTACCAATAACTTCCACCTTCTCTGGTTCTATATTGAAGATCTAATGGCTGTTTAAAAAGCATTAACAACGCGAAACTATGGGAACGAAGCAACCATCAACCTCTACTGGTCAATAAAAATTCGGAGGAAAATTGAGATGGATTGAGCATACGCTGAAGAGACCCTCGAATGATATGACGCGCCAACCTGGCCGACATTCGATTTGAACCGGAATGGGAAATGACGATTTGGTCGTTGGTGTGTGGATGACATGGAGGAGATGAGAGATTATGTACGACCGTGGGTCAAGCTAAAGAAGACCTCAAAGAATAGGAGAAAGTGAAGATTTGCCGTTGAAGCTTTATGCTGCACTCGGAGCCCAGAGGAACAACCATAACAATAATAATAATAATAATCGGATGGAGGATTTCATCATGAGCCGACATCAGTTAGGGAACCACTGGAAAACCTGAAAGTACTGGACAGCTGCTTCGTCCTAGTTTGGGACTCTTCATCAGTACTCACCCACCGGGGTTCGAACCCAGGACCTTCTGGTTAGAAGGCGAGCTCGTAGACCATTGAACCACTAGAACCCTATTCAGTGGCGTGCTAGGTGACCAGAAGGTCCTGGGTTCGAACCCCGATGGGTGCGTACTGATGAAGAGTCCCAAACTAGGAAGAGAAAGCTGTTCAGTACTCCCGTGTTTTCCAGGGATTCTCCAACCAATCAAAATAATTCCCTACAAAACCAATACTTGAAAAATTGATAATCATTTTCATAGGTTACTTAAATATTTCAGTCCTTTTGTTAAACCTGTTTGTTTATACTTCGCTTATATACCCTCTCTTATTTTTCACCTTATTTATTGTTTTATTTTTGTAGGTGTCGAAATGTTTATCGTCTACAACAAGCATTGACAACATTAACTGAAAGTCATGAATCTGATTTGATTCGAGTTAAACAGCTATATGAATTGTTCTTCTTAACACCTGAAGTAAGTCTTGTCCATGTTGTTTTCGTTATTATGAAGCCTTTTCTCGAGAGTCTTCGTTTTTCTGTTGATAACGACCCGAAATTTACATGACTGCTAAATCTCGTTAACGTATAGAAAATTTCCATTTTTATGTAATTAGGAACATATAAGTCAGTAGCAAAGAGATCCCTCATCTTTTCGTAACTTCACTTCAGCGTTGTACAGATATTCGGGGGACGGGGTGTATATATATATGTTCAAGAACTAGTGTTGCTTTATACTCCTGTCCATCCCAAGCAAAATACTAAGCTGCATCATCCTGGAGAGAATCGAACACGCCGTCCTGAATGAAAAACTTCGACCGGAACAGGCTGGATTCAGGAGAAAAAAGTCATGCATCGATCAAATCGCAACAATACAGATCATCATTGAACAGAGCTTGAAATGACAGTCAGTCAGCTCTCCATCTCAACTTCATTGACTTTGAAAAGGCAATCAGCAGACAGCGTCGATCCAAAGGCGATTCGGCAACTACTTCGCTACTACCATGGGGTGCCGCCAACAATTATACATCTCATACAACAATTGTACGACAGTGCTGCATACCAAGTAATCCACAACGGGAAACTCACGGAATCCTTCGAAGTGAAGACGGGAGTAAGACGAGGCTGGCTGGCTGGCTTCCTACTATCTCCAATGATTTTCCTGATTGTGGTAGACTGGATAATGCGACAGACAATGGCGGGCCGAGTAACGGGGACAGGCATAAAGTGCATTCACACAAGAAACTTGGAGGATATGGACTTCGCCGATAATACATGTTTGATTCCCCACAAACTTGAAGATATGCAAGTGAAAAGCGACAAGTTGACAGAAAAAGCATCTAGAGAAGACAGGACTTCATGTGAACATAGAGAGAACAGAGGTGATGAAGATTCCTGGCCAAAAGCAACAGCCACAACAATCAGCCAGCATACATGGTAGAAATCTGAAAGGAGCAACCTCCTTACCTACCTGGGAAACAGCGTTGCAACTACAAGCGGACGGAACTGGCGAGGATATCAAAGCGAAAATCGATCGGTAAAGCATAGCAAGCTTTCATTACTGTCAAGTCTGCGTGGAGGCCCACTACACTCAGCATTAAAAATAAGATCCGGATTTTCAACTTCAATGTGAAGTCAGGGCTACGGATGGATCAGAGACTTGTTGCGCGTCACGAATGGCCCTTCGAACAAACTACAGATCTTCATCAACAGCTTTCTTCACTCAGTACATCTCTCAAGATCAGATGGCTGGTCAGAAAAGATCAGGAACAAGGATCTCTGGGGGCGAACCAACCAGCAGGAAGCAATTGTGCAACAAATATGCAGAAAGAAATGGAGGTGGATTGGTCATCCCCTGAGAAATCAAACCATCAAATGGCATCTTAGCCTCTTTCAGACTGCTACAACAACAACATAGCCACCATCTCGCTATGTATCTCTCACACTAATAATCAATGATTTCGTGGGTTTATGGGATGTCTCTCTGTCAGTCTCAGACTGAGTGGTGCTCGGGAGGCACAAACACGAGAGAGCCAGGCAGGCTGCTTCAGACCAGGAAGAGGGTGTATTGATCATATCTTCACCCTCCGACAGATTCTAGAACATAGGAATTCCTACCGGCGTCCAACAGTCATTATATTTCTTGACCTGAAGGCAGCATTCGACTCTGTCGATCGAGAAGTTCTCTAGAGATGCTTGGCTGTAAAGGGAATTCCGAGAAAATATATTGCACTGATTAAGGCACTCTACTCGTACTCATACAGCCAGGTGAGGGCTTACGGCGAGCTGTCATCTGAACTGATGACGACCAGTGGTGTCCGTCAAGGATGCCCATTATCCCCATTTCTATTCAACTTCATCATAGATGTACTAATGGACTTAACCCTAAGTGACTTCAGCGACTCAGGGATTGACTTGCTACCGGGGAATAACCTCGTTGACTTGGAATATGCAGACGATATAATCCTTCTAGGCGAGAACGTTGACAAAATCCAGCACAGTCTTCTAAACACCTTGAGCTGCAATCTACGATTGGCATGTCTGGCATGCGATTCGCTCCCGCCAAAGGTGAGATGATGTTACAGGACTGGACTACATCGACGCCTAGTTTAAAAATAGGAAGTGAAGTGGTGGAGCACGTTGACCGCTTCACTTATTTGGGAAGTTGCATCAGCCAACGCCAACGGGCTGATCTCTGACGAAATCTCAGCACGAATACAGGGGGCTCGTTTCGCACATGCCAGTTTACGCCGACTCTGGCGTAGACGAGATGTTCGACTATCGATCAAAGGGCGGGTGTACTGCTCATCAGTCCGCTCCGTCCTCCTTTATGGCCAGCTGTGAGACCTGGCCACTGAGAGTGGAAGACATGAAAAGACTAGCTGCCTTTGATCATAGGTGCCTGCGCTCTATTTCCCGTGTAAAGTGGCATAATAAGGTGAGCAACATGGAGGTTAGGCGCAGAGTTCTAGGTAAACAGGGGAAATCAATCGACGAAGTCGGGAAGTTACAAAGACTGAGATGGTTGGGACATTTGTTACGTATGTCAAGCGATCGCCTCCCTCGACGAGCAATGTTAGCGGATATAGGGTCAGGCTGGAAAAAAGCTAGCGGCGGTCAAACAAAAACTTGGCCTCACCAATCAATGAAATCCACAATAGTTGGTCTAAGCCACGTAGAAAGGTGTAGACTTCCAGGCTGGGGTCCTCGGGACGGTAAAAATCTATGGTTGGAAACAATTGGTGACATGGCTCAAAATCGTTCTCAGTGGCTCAGATGCATCCACTCCTTGTGACTTATGTTCTCCAATGAAACTGTTTTGTTCTTCGTTATTACTCCTCCTTTGTCTCACACCTCCGCTCACTGTTTCTATTATGCTTTTCTTGTACTTTCTTCTCTTGCTTCGCGTGCTACACGGAGTGTGGTGACTTGAACTGGCGCACATTTGTGCAAAGTTCTATGTCGAAAACAGACAGACAGAGTCTCTCATCCTACTTTAGCTAACAACACATTTCACTGCGAGCGGAACATATGCCCCAACTACCTCAGCTGACAGAAATTCATAAAAACAAAATTTACATTAGGCTTAGTAGTAATTAGGTTGATGGTGACTAGCAGTGGAATCCAGCATGCGCATGTCGTCCTGTTTAGGACTCGTCATCTGGTCACCATCCATCAAATTACTTCAGGTTAAATTCTCATACATCATCAACGCATCCTCACAAGGAGCCGGCATGTCATTAACAGAGGCCGAGCACTTCAATACAAATCGAATTAAATAATATCGGATGCCCTTTGCACAAGAGGTAGTTCTCGTGGCCACTTTGTGGTCTAGTGCATAACGCTTTGGCGTTTCAAACAATGTGTACTGAATTCTAGCCTCAATGGGTTGTCTGTCACTAACTACTATGAAATACAGGGTACGACTAGATGATGAGTTTCAAATAGGACGAAGTTTGCATCCTCCATTCCACTCCTGGTTGCCATCCGCTAAATTACTTCAACGTAGGCCGAGCCCTTTGGTTCACTCGATCAACGAGTAATTTCAAATTGACTTAGATAAATAGTAACAGTGTTTCTTTACTGGTGGGGTTGCTAGTCGCTTCCCCTCCACCGTCGAACTTCCCTCTTTATCAGGCTAACTACTGATTACTAAGCAAGGATTGGAGGGGGGTGAGTCGATCGGAAACAGAACGTCTTACGACGTGTATGTTTGACGAGCATTCAAACGCTAAAAGCCACCGAAAAATTAGGAAGTGTTTCTTTTATGAATCATTATGACTAACGAGAAGTCCAGGGTCAGCTTTCAAATGATGAATAGTGAGTATTTCTCAAATATGTCATTGCAGTATATTCACTTGTTTCTTCTATTACGTGGTTTATTTCTTAATGTGAATTTTTTTTCTTTTCTCCAGAGTGTTGTCAATCGCTTGATGGAACAAGGTACAGCGTTTGATCATACTGTCTATGCTAATCTCTTACACTTGTATCGACGTAGTCATTCCACATATGCTTATTCCAAAATACAAAGTTGTATAGCTCGACTGGCGACTGTTACACCAAGTGGACCGATATAAAGTGTATGCGTGTCTATGTATGTGTGTGTGTGTGTGTACCAGTGCGTGCGCTGTAATGCTGTGATTTCTCCGCTTTTATATGTATGTTTTGTTTTAAATGAACTTGTCAAACTGATGATGATAACTTCGTACAGTATTATTGATTGTTTTATTGATTTATTGATTTGTGTTTTTGACTTTCCAAATTCACTAACTTTGTGTTTTTTTCTACTCTGTGTATCTTGTTATCTATAATGTTTGTTTGTTTTTAAATTGCATATATACTAAATTTCATTTTGAAATAATAATCAACTGCTGTTTTAAGGTGTTCGTTTTAAACGGTTTACAATAGTTCGCTAACTGCTGATATCAATCTGTGATCAACCTTGAAACCAGTCAAATTCTCGTTACAAACTAACATTTATCACTGGTTGACTAAGTTGCCTGGAATTCTGCTTAGAAATCTCCTTTACTAGTGGACTTCATCAAGTAATTCAGGTGTGCTGGTGGGGGGAAGTCATGGCCTTCCTCGACGAGCGCTGTTAGCTGATATAGGGTCAGGCTGGAAAAGAGCTAGCGGTGGTCAAACCAAAACATGGCACCAGTCAATGAAATCTACATCAGTTAGTCTAAGCCACGTAGGAAGGTGCAGACTTCCTGGTTGGGGTCCTCTGGACTATAAACACCAATGGCTGAATACAATTGGTTCTCAGTGGCGCAGATGCATTCACTCCTCCTAACTTATAATACCCAATAAAGCTATGTGGTTCTTCCATACTAATACTCTTCTTTTTGCCTCATAAATCTGTTTACTGTCGTTATTTTTCATTTCTTTTTACTTCTCTTGCTTTGTGTGGTAGATGGATTTTGGCGACTTGAATTGCTGCACACCGGTGGAAAGTTCTATGTTGAAGCCAGTCAGTCAGAAGGTTTTGGCTTCTAGCACTGGTTCAGTTGTAGATGCCTAATACTGAATTGTCCTAAGCTATGGTGAAATACCTGTCTAGTACTCCTGTTTTTTAATCGTCCTCTAACTGGTATCAATCCGTGATCAAATCTGAAAGTGTTTCGTAATTTTTCTCAATATGTCGAGAATGAAATAGGGACGCTGACTTGTATACAGATGGCCTGATCATTATTATCTCTTGACCACGGTAACAATATTACATGACAGCTACTTGTTCCTCATTAAATGTAAACACGCAATGATGTGACGCGCAAAATTTATTTAACACGATAAATATACGATTCAAAATATCACCAAGATTATGTCAATTAGTCTATATTCATAACCGATAAAATATTGGACTTTGTTTTTCATGGACCGAATTCTGATTGGTTTATTCCCACAGTGGGCATCGATCAATCACGTTGGCCAATTTTGATTGGTCTATTTCTAGGCTGGAATTGATCACCGCCTCAGAGAGACCATCGTTGAATATCAATGATATATTTATGAATCCTATTCTAATGCACGTATATTATGGTATATGTGTGTAGTCGTCAATCAGTAGTGGTCAGTTAAAGAGCTTAATTTCTTCCAGCTTAGATTTCATCAAGAACGAATATCGGTTAGAGAATAAATGATGACCGGAAAGTATTCGATAGTTGTTTCGTCTCAGCTTGTGACTCTTTAACAGTGAAAACGTATGATTCTACCGTAAGTCAAAATAAAGAGCGTGAGGTTCCAAGGCGAACCCTGTTGATGATTTTAGCTAATGCGATAGAATCCAATGACCCATGAATTTCGATTTCTGTCAGTTCTTGATGTTCATTTGGGTTTAAAGTAGTTTATTTGTAAAGTTGAGTGTGAATAAAATAGTTATCACAGACCGTGTGATATTAGCGCCTGATATGATAGTGCACAATAGATTGTGGCATTATCATCGGCGTTCGAGTAATAGAGTCTTCAGCAAGACAATAAACCTGATATAAGTTTCAACGAAAGTGACTATTACTGTAATGTCTGTTGATTGACGTTTTAAGGGGAAAAAGTGTGGTTTACGTTCCGAGATCTTATTAATCGTGAAACAGTTCCGGTTTTATTGAGTGGTATTCAAAGTAGTGCAATTATTCACTTTATGATTTCGGAATCTATATTAACAGAAGGTGTAGTTCCTTAGTGCTTAATAATAAAAGATTTCCTGGAAAAAAGAAAACTGGATGACTGTACACATCAGTCTGTGAAATTAAACCCTTTTTCATGTGGAATATATGATATACTTGTACGCTATACTCCTCTAGTGATTTACAACTCCTTTTACTAATTAGTGCTTTACAATAGTGTTCATTTAGGACTATTTATTTTATGTCAAGAATCATCAGGTTGATTATTATATCGTGCTATTAGATGGCTGGGAGGTAATCGGCTGGAAACCCTGGCTGAATCTAGGCTTCATGCATATTGTCGACGAGGAGTATCTACAATCTGACGACGCATCTAGTCCTGGATATATCTATTCGAATCCTACAAGAGGTTAATCGCCAGACCGAATAGCTCGGTGGTAGTGTCTGTGACCACGGTAGTGGATGGATTGACCTAAGTTCGAATCTCCGAGGGAACATGAGTTCGTCAAAGATTGCAGATATACGCCTTGTAACAACAGAAGACAAGGGCCAGGCAACAGATCGTTTATTAAGGAAATCAACACGTATTTATATATTTTTATGTACATTATTATTGATTATTGTTAACAGAAAAACACAGTCTTCTGATTGGTTGTTTCTCACAGAATGTTGACCTTGCATCTCTTTGTGACTGTTTCTTGAATGTCAGATCATCTGTATGTTAATTGTATCCGCCTACTCAAAGTCTACTGTGGTTGGTTGTTGAATGAGTCTTTGTTTATATTTTCTCATGACCAATATTGGGGACATAAACACTGACGTAAATTAATGTCTACCGATTTGGCTAGCAGCCTGCTCTCACCACAGCCTTACTGACTGGTGAGTGCCAATACGCATCAGACCTTCAGCTAGGGTTTCCTGAAGAATGCCTCCAGTCATTTAATAACACTGTGATGGTGGCCACATTGTTAAACAAGACTGCCTAATTGTGGTGGACTGGATTATGCATCAGACTGTGCTCTGGAGCGAGAAGACAAAATACGTTAGACTGATAAGACGACTCTAGCAGATCTGGTTTTCGCCGATAATCTATGTATAATGCCATCAAAACTCGAAGACTTACAGGCGAAAACTGACAGAAGAGGCTATCAGCGAAGATGGGACTCTAGGTAAACACAGAAAATGAAGTTGAAGAAGATAGCCAACCAGCTAACCATATTATTTTTATTATTATTGTATCCTTTAGTTCCTAGAGGAACATAGGGCTTCAGCTGTGCACCTCCATCGCCCTCTGTTTTCTGCCAACTTTTTCACCCCGCCCCAGGTCTGTCCACATGCTTTCATCTCCTCCTCACATGACCTCCTCCAAGTCACCCTTGCACTGACGACCAACGTGCCGCTTCCCTTCCGGCCAGGTTCCACTCGAGCAATGGCTTGTCTAGTGATGTCACTCACTCGATGGTTTCCTCAGAGTATGGCCAATCCATTTCCATTTCTTCCTGCCTATTTGTTACACAATCGGTTCCTGCTGTGTTGGTTCGCTCATTGCCAGAGATCCCTGTTGCTGATCTTTTCTGGCCGGCCATCTGATCTTGAGTATTGAGTGGAGACAACTGTTAATGAAGGTGTGAAGTTTGTTTCAGATGCTATTTATGACGCGCCAAGTCTCTGATCCATCCGTATAGTAGCACTGACGTAACATTGTAGCTGAAAATCCGGATTCTATTTTCATTGTCATGCTGAGTGCTGAGTCTTGATCTCCACACAGATTTAAGAGTAATGAAAGCTTGTCTTGCTTTTCCGATTCTCGCTTTGATATCCTCGTTAGTTTCGTCCACCTGTAGTTGAAACGATGCTTCCCAGGTTGGTGAAGGAGGTTGTTTCTTTCAGGTTCCTCCCATTTATGCTGATTGTTGTCTGTTGTTGTTGGTGCTTTTGATGTTGGCCAGGAATCTTCATCACCTCTGTTTTATCAATGTTCACTTGAAGTCCTATCATTGATGCTATTTCTGTCAACTTGTCGCTTTTCACTTGCATATCTTCCAGTTTGTGGGAAATCAGACATATATCGTCGGCGAAGTCCAAATCCTCCAAGTCTTTTGTGTGAGTCCATTTTATGTCTGTTCCCTCGCTGGTTGCATATACATACATAGCTTTGCCTTGGACATTCCGATCGGTAATGATACAGCAATGCCTAAAGGTCTTAGTCTCATTTCCTTTCAGAGGTTTGATCGGATCATCTTTAGGTCTTTTCAAGTAGACCTGAGCGTCCTGAGTTCACCAGATGTTCTGTTGCGAAGCTATAAACACGTTCTATGTTCTCCCTTCGGTAACCAGGCTACATAGTGTTTCTAAGCTCGTTTCACAAGCGTATGCATAATACGGTTAATGTACTCAACTCCACAAAAGGAAGTTAACTGATGTATGCATGTGTTTCCTGTATGGTCACAAACCATCGTATTTCCACTCTCCACAGAACCAAAAGAAACTGATTGGCAGTTTCCTAACTAACTGAGGAATGTATAGCTTAGTTGATAACTTCATCGAGAAGAAAATTCTCTTCAACAATCTTTTTATGCGTATATTCCTCAATGTAAAGCTGTGTTCATTAACCAAACTAAGGAATGTGAATGTCTATTTTGAACCCTGTTCAGATGACTAAACATTTGAAACCTTAAATTCGAATTCATTTACCCTATTCCGAGAAAATTTGTGTATAAAATAGATACAGAAGTTCATTTTGAGAATTTATTCAATCAGTTGAACAGCTGACATACCGTCAGTGAGAATAAAGATTGCTTCAAGTTGAAACTTGTAGACATATTGGGGTGATTGACAATTTCTATCCCTGTATTGTTTAAATACTTACTGTTGCTTGTTAATATTTTTCTTATATGAATTAAATAATAATAATTCCGCCAAATACAAATTCCTAAATTCATCCCTCTCTGTGT